AATGACCTATAAATAATTTGAAACTTTTTTAAAACACTACAAGCCCATATTTGAAAATCAAACCGACTAAGTCTCTTAATTAAGCCAAATTTCCCCTTAGGTCCTTTACCCGTATAATTCGTAAGTGAAACATCAAATGATAATGACCCCACTTAAAGGGATAATCAAAACATCAAAGTTCATTGAGCATAAGGGTATGAATTAGATGAAAAACTTAGCAAACATAATAAGACCAAAATGAACTCGAGACGATTTGAGGGACTGTGAAATGTCTAGGGTATTACCCAGGGCCATTTCATGATCCTTTGGGAATCTTGGATGACACTTGGACATATTATGATTTGCTTGATTGAATCATCCCCGCAGATGAATAAATTAGAGCTATTAGGGTATGACATAGGGTTTGGTAGACATACCTCAAACCTGTATTCTCTACTTTTCCTACAAGCATGTTTTAATTTCTGCAAAATTATATATATGCATTGTAAATACTGACATTTTAGGTGGAGGAACGAGAAGAATCGATAGGTAAGCGTTTAAGTTATTGCATTGCAATTTACTTTCATTTATTCACACCTCTTGTTTCCTCCCCATAAATTTGCATGTTAAACAACAAAGTCACTCTGCGTGTCAAAACTGAAACTTTTAAAATAGCCACAAAACTAAAATTAAAACCAAAATTAAGAAATCAAAACAAGATAAAATTCATAGCCACAATAGTCAAAATATAAGACAACTCAAAATTTAAGCACAAACAAAACAACAAAACAAAAATTGCAATAAAATTAAAATGTCTCTATCGGATGATTGAGAATCTCTCGGAGGAGGTAACCTATAGTTACAAACGAGATTTCCCACGGTATAAATGAAAGTATGGAACTCATTGAGTTGAGTTTAGTAAATTCATTTGGACTAAGTGAATCTGAAGAAAATAGTGGTGCCGGAACGAGAGAACCGTGGGATCCTAAATGATGTCGCTCTAATCAAATTTCACCCCCCCATAATAATTAAATTTAACTTGTCAATTAAACCTTTAAACCTTAGACTTTAGGACTGCTATTTCGCCGAGGAGCCTGGAGCTAACTTTGTGGGCAGCCTTCTACAGCATGAGGATCTACAACATCACACCTTTCCTTAGAAATTAAACAATAAGCCATAAGATTTGGATGTTGTCCACCTAGTGCGACATAAATCCTCAACTTTTTTTAGGCCTTTGTGTAGCCCTACTATACAATTTGAGCCCTAACTTGTTTTAGGATTCCGAAGTTGTTTTTTTTTACGACCTAAACTCTCACATCTTTTAGGCTATTTGTGCGATCGTCTATCATGAATGTAAGACCTAATTAATGAAATTGGCAAGATGAAACACTTAATTCATTCTCGAAATTGAAGTCGAATCATAGGATAGCTTGGGAAGTCACCGAGGTTCTCCTCAGGATCCATGATATCCCCTAGTTCTTCTTCCTTTAGATTCCAAAAATAAATATTCCAAATTTGAATCATTCCCCTTTTCACACCTCTTTGTCTGATCTTTTGAAAAGTCCTATCCTTTGAAATCCTTGAAGACAATATCCCCTAATTTTTATCGAGAGTTTTCTTAGGTGACTTTGGTTATCTAAAATGTAATTAATTATAGGGGCTTGCCCTTATAAAAAACTTTCAAGAACTCAGCTTAATATAAATCCTATTTAATTTTTTATATTAAATAGGGGAACTTTCCGGTCAACATAAAAAAATGGTTTTTCACAGACTTAAACAGATATCATAAATTCTTTAGTTTATTTAATCGAGTTTTACCATTAAGTAGTGTGTCTACCATTCGTGATAGATGCATTGCTTGCGGTATTAGGGTCATTTATTTAAACTATTGAGGATATGAGATCAGTCCAGTTCTTATATTTTCAAAATTTAAAATACAACTTTTCCCACATTATACATATATAAATTACGAGCATCGGGATATCCATTCTTGCAACTGACAATTTCCAATTTGGCGACCAACAACAGATTCACAGACACATCGATGGACAAATATACACATTCACAGATACACAAATATGCAGATAACAAATACACAGACATACAAATATACAAATATACAGATATATACAGATACACTGATATATAAATATAAGGATACACACACACACATATACAAATATACATGCATATATACATTTATACGATTATTTAAGAAAAAAAGAAAGGCAAAAAGCTATGATATAAGCCCTCAAATACTCTCATGTTACTAACCACTCGATCTCACACAACAAGACAGATGCACTCAGACGGGATCAAACCCGTGACCCAGTGGACTTATGCAAAGCTGCACCACCAAAGAGCTACGACGAGCGACACACATGTATACATACATACATACACATATATATATGCATATACATATAGGTAGCCAGAATACAATGAGATATTACTTTACCTAATATTGCTGAAGTCTGGCTGGGCATAACTCGTAATGGATATTGGCAACAAATTGTTATGGAACATAGACCTTTTTATTGTACCCACTGTGAGATGTTTGGGCATACCCTTGATAAATGTCACAGACTCCATCCTAATTTGAAATCTAAAGCTCAAGTGAACAAAAATGGGTCTAACCCCACTGCTTTGGACACATCTGCTCCAACTGCGGTGGAAATTACTACAAGATAGGAATTGGTATCTTATTTAATTGCCCCTGTGGACCCCCCTCACAATACTGTTTCTATTTCTGTGATTGATGTGATGCAAGATGGCTCTGTTGGGCAACCTATACTATCAAACATTATTGAAAACAATACTGAAGGATCCTTACCTACAAAGGATAGTGTTCGGACCGATAATCAGGAGAGTCTTGCAACTCCTCATCTTCAGGAAGTATCCAGTGTAGAGGCGACAACTCATACTTCTGGCTAGATTACTAATTTTGGAATGGTGAGAAGCTCACTCCTCCTGCTATCATAATAAATTTTAACTCTGGTGAGGGATTGTTGGGATGGTAATCTGCGAAACTGCAGAATGCTTCAAACTCTTATAACCCCACCACAAATCACAAAGGTATTAGATACTCCTTTCTCGCCTGGACAGAAAGATCAGTTAGTTACTAAACAAGCCCTTTCCCAAAAGCTATCCTCCTTCATCTACCATAATTTTTTTCAATGGGAACCTTTACATTGGGGCAAAGTTATTTGGGGTAAACTCCTCACCCTTCCCAATGTCCTTTTTTTTGCTGGAGGCTTTGGCTCATGCTTTTTCCTATTGATCACATCCTCAAAGTTAAAGGATTGAGAGGACACTCTTACTACTGCTTACGTAAAACTGAGGAGGAAACCATCGTACATCTATTTTTCAGTTGTCCCATCTCTCAAAAAATCTGGACTTCTCTACTGATCAAGCTGTAGGTTGACTTCTTCCAAATGAGCTGGCTCAATTTCTCTACTTGCTAGACTGACTGGATGACAGCTAATTTACACACTATACCTTGCATTGTGACTTGGTTCATTTGGATGCATAGAAATCTTGTCAAATTTGATGGCAACCTACCCATGGAGTCCCAGGTGGTCACCAACTGCATTCTTTCAATCAGAAACTGACTCAACATCAAAAGTCCCCAAACATATGCAATAATTGGTCCCCTACCAGTACCTCAATGACCACTCTACTCTTCTCTCTGATTACATGGATGGCCCCTCCCTCCAACTAGCTAAAGGTGAATACTGATGGTAGTTTTTATGATGAGGATGTTGGGTTTGGTGGTGTGTTTAGGAACACCCAAGGCAAATGTTTTCTGTTTTCCATTCCCCTACATTGGCGGCAAATACTTTAGAAACTGAAATGATTGTTATCTTCTGGGCCATTCACATTGCTAGATTTTGTAAGTTTTGTAAGTTAATAGTGGAATCAGAATCTCAAGTTATCATCAAAATTTTGCAGGAATTGGAGAGACCTCACTGGCATATCTCAAAATGACTGCAAAAAATCATTCCTTTCACTCAATCCTCTCAAGTGCCTTTTACTCGTACCCCTAGAGAAGGAAATAGGCCTGCCCACTGGTTGGGCAGTCTTAGGAAAAAATTCAGAAAAGTTTGTTGTTACCTCTTCCACTTCCCCATCTTAGAGTCTTTTAGCTCTTTCTTTTCATACATATATATATATATATATATATATGTATATATATATATATAGCCCTAGTTCATGAATCACACCAAGCCCCCTAAGCCACTGAGCCAACATATATATATTCCCAGCCACCCTCATGTGCTTAACTATTCGATCCCGCGCTGCAAGGCAGATGCACTTAAGCGGGCTCGAATTCGTGACCGCAAGGGACTTATAACTAACTTCACAGATGTCAACAAAAAAGTCACGACAAACTGCATATATGTATATATTACTTAAAAGAAAATATTTCATGCTAAATTGGAATTGTGGAGCTTTTTTTTTTTACTTACAAAAGAATATTTTTTCTTCATATTCATAGAGACTATAACTAACATATTTTTCATATATAAACTTATGTGACATATTATCCATATTATTATTTAAATGTTATGTGTGTATCATTAAGAGACGTCCATTTTTAATTATAAGGAATCACAATCATTCATGAACCAGCCAATCCAGACAAGAGAACAAAAACACTTTATCTCATTAATGCACTTTCACAATAAAATTATAAATAGTAGAAATAATAGTTTCAGGATTAAAAAACCTAGTTAAAATTTGACCTTTAAAACTAATAAAAATATTTCAAAATAAAAATAGTTCCAGTAAAATTTATTATTTTTTATATTATTTTTAATCTGAGAATAAATCTTCTCCCTTTATTCGGCCCATGAAATATTGGATGACATTTAAAAAATATCAAGCTCACAAAAGAAAATTTGAGACTGATTTATAAGAAAAAAAATGACATATTTAAAATTAGAAACAATTAAAAAATTATAATTGATTTATATTTAAAAAGTATTTTATTTTATTTTCATCTCTTGTAGGAGGGAGAAGTCCAGATTCATTTGAAGCTAATGCAGAAGGGACTGGACTGAACCCTGGAAACTGATATGGAAAGAACAGAAACAAAGATTATGGGGCATCATGCTCCGTTGTCCGCCCTCTTTTTTGCTTTCTTCACATGGTAAGGGGCTTTCAGCTTCAGCTCCCCTTTTTCTCTTTCTTTTTATCTCCTTTGGAATTTGCCCGCCATGGCGACAACTCTTTAATGCCAGGAAACTCGGCTTCTTTTACTCCCGAATCTGGCGGCTCCGCTTTGCCTTCGTCTTGAATCTTCCTCCGGGGGCATCTCTGTAAAATTCAATGGCTTTTGCATTTCTTGCTTTTTTGTTTTTCTTTTTTTTATTCACCTCCTCCGGCAAAATCCCATCTTTCCGAAGATTTTGTTTGCTTGGGTATGTTTGCTTTGTTGTTTTGGGAAAAAAATTGCGTTTTTATTTATTTATTTTCTTTTTTTCTTCTTGCAAGGCTTTGATGAGAATTTGAGTAGATTTGGTTTAATCTGGCTGAACGATTCGCATGCTTTGAAGTGGCAATCAGATTGTTTCCTCTTTGCTACATAATGTTATGTATTTAACATATTTGAATCTTCCCAAGTAATCTCGTTTCATAAAATGTGCTCCTCGAACTTATGCTTTATGGATCTGGCAATCTTTTTGAAAGTTCTCCATCTGAAGAAAAAAAGAACAGGAAGGGGAAATAGTTGAATTATTTCATATAGTTTTTTTATATATTTAGCCTACTTTGCTGCATTGAATACATATAAAGTAGAAGGAATATACAAATGAAGTTGCTGCTTTTGCTTTTTGATGTTGATGTGCAGGCTTGAAGCCCTAGGTTTCAATTGCTAATTTGAGAAGAATTGATCCCAAAGTCATGGAAATTATCCCATCTGATTGCCCCTTTCCAGGCTGTTTATTCTGTGTCATGAAAGAAGACAATCCGAACAAACGAAGAGCTGGCATCATCAAATTCTTCAAAGATCTTCCTTCACAAGATGAAGATGGCCAAGTTCTACCTATCAGCGGGCTTTGGAACACTGCCATGGCACATCCAAATGATCCTGAGTTCATCAACCTGGGAATATTTGAATGCATGAATGCCTTGATTTGGAAGGGCTTGAAGAACCGGCGCTGGCTTTCCCGTGACCAGAACATATACATACCTTACTATGCTGCTCATATTATTGGATCTTACACAATGAACTTGGAAGAGTTTGCCATTAGTGCTGTGAATGCTTTAGTTATTCCTCCATTGATTGAACTCTTGAGAGGAAGGCTAACATGGGTGGAACAAAGGGTAGCAGTTAGAGCTTTGGGGCACTTGGTTACCTATGCCAGCACTTTTTCTGCTGTTTCAAGCCATGAGGAGGTTCTTGAGCTTGCCATACAGCTTGCTTTAAGCTCTTTGGAGATTGTCTACTCTCATTTTTACAAGTCTGTGGACAGGAGACCACGGTATCACTGTGATCTTCTAACCCGCGGGATGGGGGGTACGGAGATGGAATCAAGGAAGGCTGAGGAATGGGCGAGTCAGTTGCAGTGCTGGTCACTTCAACTAATTAACTGCTTTGCATTTAAGCCTGAGTTCCTCCCAGACATTTGTAAGCCAGAATTTTTGGTGAAACTGCCGGGGATGTGGGGTGGACTTGTTAATGAGAATTCACCCGCAGGTATTGGATTGTTGAGAACTATCTGTCATCATAAGCTTGGTAGAGGGGCTGTTGTGAGCTGTGCTGGTGTTTTGGAGGCGCTATGCAATATCGCTAGATCGTCAGATGACTGGCAATATATGGCAATTGAATGTCTCATTTGGTTACTAAAGGATCCATCAACTTGTCATAAGGTAGCATACATTTAATTTTTAGAACATCCTGCAAGCATGCATAGTGATGGCTTTCTTAATTATAATCTTTAGGTTGAGTTTTTCAATATGGAAAAAGCATTGGGTCTGCAAGTTACAAATTAGAAGATCAGAATTTTGAATTGGAACCAATCTTATCATAAATGCATATTAGAAGCATGCAGTTGTTACTAGTTTAAAACTGTGTTGTTTTAATCCCATTCCGATAACAATTTTTACTACTTTTAGTGGGATTATCTTAGAGGGAGGGTCTTCTTTATTTGTAGCATTTGCGTGCGCGTGCGCGCACACCCACATGCACACACTCATAGTATTTTCTCTCTAAAATTTAGATTTCTAACTGAACTGACCCTAAGTTCTTCCAATCCACATCTCTTTAGTTCCAAAGTAAATGTTTTCTTTGTTAATTCCATCTCTACCTGCACTAAGATTTAGCATTGTTTGGCTTAATAGGTGGTAGATATAGCAGCGCCAGCTCTTATAGATCTTGCTGAAATTACCAAGCTTGGTGATAACCTAAGGCTTGGTGACTCCATTGTTGAACTCCTTGGAGAAACTGTGCAAACATGTCAGTCCATAAACAGACATGTGAAAGAACAAATTGAAGAACTTCTGATCTCCAGGCAGAGATTAAAATGGGAGAAGAATATGTCCAAGGAGGACCTTCATATAAAACAGGCAGCAGCACTTGTTGTCAAGCTGGAAGGAAATTCTCTATTTTCTTCAGGAAAGATTGCTGAGGCTGCCTCTAAGTACTCCGAAGCATTGGCCTTGTGCCCAATCAGATCCAAAAAGGAGAGAGTTGTGCTCTATAGCAACCGTGCCCAATGCTATCTTCTCTTACAGCAGCCCATGGCAGCCATAAGTGATACAACACGAGCATTATGCCTTCACAAACCTTTTAATGGTCATGCCAAAAGCCTGTGGAGAAGAGCTCAGGCGCATGACATGCTTGGATTAAGCAAAGAGAGCTTGTTGGATGCTATTCTATTCATCAATGAGTGTTCTCAGTCCAAAGATACTGAGCTGTCAATGAGACAGAACAGAGTTCCAGATTATGCCACCAAGTTATTGAAGAAGCAAATGAGAGCCGCATGGCTATTTCGAGAGGCAGCCATGAAACATGGTGGTGTATATTCTGAGCATTATGATGGTGATGCACAAGACGATGAGGCTGATTCTGATTGGGAGACAGCTAGTGAAAGTGATTTAGGAAATGACAGAAGGGAAAGTGAATTCTGAGGGCAGTAGAGATGAATATATGATGAGAACTGAATGATATGTTGATATGTACTCACAAGTCATTCATGCTTCATATGTTGATATGTACTCACAAGTCATTCATGCTTGTGATAGAATGAGATGCCTTCTCATTTAACGTGTCCTGAACTGTTTGGCAGATTGTATTCATCTTATGTATTCATCTTATTTAAATGTTCAAATTTATATATTTATATCTATATATATAAATTGAATTTGGCATGTGAGCTGTTGTGTTTGTCTTGGATTCTTAGAACTATGTATATCACGGTATGTAGCATGCAACGCCATGTTGTTTGGTTTTGCAACTTATATGCAGCAATTTTAGGTGCAGTTTGATAATGGTTTTATTTCTGTTGCGGCCGCTGTAACCTATGTGGTAAAATCATTTGGTTTGTTTGAACTGGCTACTTGTTTGCTAGCCAAGCTACCAATTATGGCATTTTTCTTTAGATGTCCATTGGCTGGCTCCTGTATTGCTCTAAGTTGCTGCAAAAGTTAGAGCTTATAATAGAGCAAGAGCCTTGGCTCAATTAGAATTGAAAGAATAAGTGTCATTACAAAGGAATACCTTAAACTTTAAAATGCATTTATATTTTAAGAGCATAGGTAAAAGAAAGGAGAAACTTGTAAATAAATGAAATGACTACTGAATCAAAAGTAAAATTGCACAATTGCATCATCATCCTGTAAAGTGTTGATAAGCAGCTACCAATCAATTACTATAGCAAAACATCACTTCCGGACGAACCAAAAATGTAATTTCCATGGTATAACACGAATCAAAAGTGAACTCCTAAATGAAGCAACAAAATTTAGCCAACGAAAGAGAAAACAAAACGGAAAACATCATTTGATATTTTATTTAAAAAAAAAAAGAAAGAATCATCAACAACAACAACAACAACAACAACAACAA